ACGGGGTTTCACCATGTTGACCAGGATGGTCTCGATCTCTTGACCTCGTGATCCACCCGCCTCGGCCTCCCAAAGTGCTGGGATTATAGGCGTGAGCCACCGCGCCCGGCCTGAGTGCTGTATACTTAACCTCTGACCTCTGTCCTGTAACCCAGGGCAGCGGATGTGAGTCTCCACCTTCTAAGTGCCCCGCTGTCCTGGGCAGCTCGGCTCCGGGGGCTCAGCAGGTGGTGGCCTGCCCACAGCAGTTCCAGTCAGTGCGTGGTAGATGTGCTCCCCAGCACGGGGCAGGTGCGGGCACGGGTGCCGCAGCCCCGGTGGCTCTGAAGGGGCAGACGTCTCTCGCACTCTCTCCACGGCGGGACCTTTCACCAGCTCCAGAGCCAGAGCCAGCTCCTGCGCCAGCGGCCCCACCAGCTCGGGGGGCGGCGCCGGCTCCCGTGCCAGCTCCAGGACCGGAGGCAGCCCTGCCGCCAGCTCGGGCAGCACCTGCAGACAGCGCAGGCCTCGGCCCTCTGCGCCGGCTCCGGCATCCTCCGGCCAGGACCAGGTCCGAGGCCACCCGCACCGCTAGGGCCAAATACCAGCATCGGGATCCGCAGCCGCCACGGGGCGGCCTCAGCAGCGCGGCCACGCCAGGCGCTCCCGCAGGAGCTCGGCGACCCCGGCCGCAGCCAGCGCGGCTCCGACCGCGGCCCCCGCCCAAACCCGCGCCACCGGTGGCGGCTCAGGCACCGCAGCCACGCCCGGGGTCCGACCCGGCTCCCGCCAGCCTCGAGCCCGCGCCAGGTCCGGAGGGCGGGCGGCTGCAGCGCCACCCGCGGAGCCGGAGTCTCACCTCCGGGACCCACGCGCTCGCGGAGCGTGCCCCCGACCCGGCCTGGGGAGCCGTCGCCAACACGGGGAGCCGCGCGTGTCCGCGGCGTGCCCGGCCCCCGCGGCGGGCTCCGTGGGGCGGTCGCGGAGCAGGACACGGGTCACGACGCTGCCGCTGCTCTGCGTGGCGAACCCACGCGCCCCCCGCCAGCCACGGAGCTGCGCCCACCTGCGGGCACGGGGAGCGGGGGGCGCAAGGAGAGCGGGGGCACCGGGGGCCGGGGAGCGGGGGCGCGGCGGCTCGGGCGGGCGCGGCGGGGAGGCTTGACCCTCACGGGCCGCCGTAGGTGCTATAAAAGGCGCGGCGCGCCCTCCCCCGACCTCTGCGCGCGCCGGCGGCTGCCATGGCGGGTGCGCTCCTCGCCGCCTTCTCCCGGGCCCTTCCCAGCCCGCTCCTCGGCTACCGCCCTGCAGCGTCGCTCTCCCGGGCGCGGCGCGCTCTAGGGGGCTCTGCTGCCGGGTGGGCGCTCCGGGCGCGAGGCGGGGGCGGGCGCTGACCTGGGGCGTCCCGGCCGCGGGATGCGGGACTGGGCCCCGGAGAGGCGCCGTGCTGTGTCCCTCCCCGCGCCGTTTCCAGCCAGGAAGCTTCGGGAAGCCTGGTGAGAGTCCAGTGCGCGAATTCGGACCTAAGCGGAAAGCGGCCCGCTCGCCCGCGCCCCTTCCGCCCCTGCTGCTGCGTCCCCGAGTCGCGGAGGCTTTGGGGACGTCGCCCCGAGTGTCGGCATCTTCGAGAAATGGATTTCTCGTGCTGTGTCCACGCGTCGGGTGTTTCCGTGTGACCGGCCGCCCAGCGGGAGGCCGTCGTGGCCGAAGGAGTCCGGTGACCGCCGGACCAAAGACTGTTTTACAGGACAGGTGCGCGCCTGTCCTTGGTGGGCATCCGCCTCGTGGTCCTGGTCCCTGGACACCTGCAGGGGATCAGCGTTCCGTGGCCATTGTTGTGACTCAACTTCCCCTCCTAGAGAGTAAGCGGAGGGAGTAACATGAGTCGGATTTTTCTAGAATGGCCCTTAAGACAGGGAGCTTTTGGTGGCAGGGACCTTTGGTCTGCCTTCCTGGAGATGAGATGCAGCAAATCTGTCTTTTTTTTTTTTTTTTTTTGAGACGGAGTTTTGCTCTGTCTCTCAGGCTGGAGTGCAATGGCGCGATCTCGGTTAACTACAACCTCTGCCTCCCTGGTTCAAGCGATTTTCGTGCCTCAGTCTCGCGAGTAGCTGGGATTACAGGCGCCGGCCATCACGTCGGCTCATTTTTTGTTTGTTTGTTTGTTTTAATTTTTTACCAGAGACCGGGTTTTACCACGTCGGCCAGGCTAGTTTTGAACTCCTGACCTCAAGTGATCCGCCTGCCTCGGCCTCCCAAAAAACAGTCTTTGTATGATGTCCCTCTGTGGTGTTTGCAAGATTTGTACAAAATTGGGATTTATTTTTCTCTAGGACATCTGCTCACTGGAAACACGTGCGAGGGGTGCTGGGGTGTTGGGTAAGTTGGTGCTGGACCAGGGTAACCCCCCCGTAACCGCCGCGCCCTCTGCCCTTTGTAACTAAGCCCTGCTATGTGACTTT